ATTCTAAAACATACCATTTTGGTTAGGTATGAATAAAAGATATGCCTTAATCGTCCAATACACATATGAAATTATTTTTTAAATTTGTTAGTATCGCCTGCATACTTTCTAAAATTTAAAACATGATATAAAGTAAAGAATATCCTCTAACGAGGGAATAAAGACACAGTATCATCACATGATGTAAAGTTTTTTTTTTGAAACAGTGGCTCATTTTGTATTTTAATCATTCCTAATAATATTAGTAGACAGCAGATAAAATTATAAAATACTGTATAACATAGATATACAGGGTGTTTCAAAACAAATGCGAAAAACTTCAGGGGGTGATTCCTTGTTCAAAATAAAGGGTAGTTTGCTTCATAAACGTTGGGTCAAAAGTCAACCATTAGGGAGATATCGCGGTACAAAGATGGCGGAAAAATAATGTTTTTATTTTTTATCTTGAAAACGAAAAGAGATAGACTAATGAAATTTTATGGAAGCATTACTGTTATGAAAACACACTTTCTGGTAATTTTTTCACTATTTTAAAATGAGTGGAAGGGGTTGAAATAAACTACCCCTATCATTCTTGTTAACGAAATTTAAAGAAAAATCTTATCAAACACATACAAAATAATTAATTTGGATAGTTTAGTTTGTTTAGAAACTATTTTATCTCTTGTGTTTTTTTGATAAAAATCACCGATTTGAAATTAAAAAATAAAATGTAAAGCATTACATGTCAGGACAAAAAACATTTTCTGATAAAGAATCTAGTGGGCTGCTGTAATTTTTTAGGAAAAAATCTAGTCGGCCGCTGTTACTTTTTAGGATGTTCCTAATATTATTTTATTTGACATTACTCTACTGCAATACGTTATTATCTAGATGATTATTATTATCGTTATTATCACTAGATTCTTAATCTAAAAATGTTTTTTGTCCTGACATGTAATGCTTTACATTTTATTTTTTAATTTCAAATCGGTGATTTTTATCAAAAAAACACAAGAGATAAAATAGTTTCTAAACAAACTAAACTATCCAAATTAATTATTTTGTATGTGTTTGATAAGATTTTTCTTTAAATTTCGTTAACAAGAATGATAGGGGTAGTTTATTTCAACCCCTTCCACTCATTTTAAAATAGTGAAAAAATTACCAGAAAGTGTGTTTTCATAACAGTAATGCTTCCATAAAATTTCATTAGTCTATCTCTTTTCGTTTTCAAGATAAAAAATAAAAACATTATTTTTCCGCCATCTTTGTACCGCGATATCTCCCTAATGGTTGACTTTTGACCCAACGTTTATAAAGCAAACTACCCTTTATTTTAAACAAGGAATCACCCCCTAAAGTTTTTCGCATTTGTTTTGAAACACCCTGTATAAATTCACTTTGTCCAATTTAATTACAGTTGTTCACCCATCTCATTATTTTTTTTTTAGTTTTCTTTAATTTGGTTTGGGTTTACAATACTTATTAATTATTAGTACAATATGAATGATGTGCAAAAATAAATAGTTTATTTTTTGTTTATTTCTCTTTACAATATTCGATTATTAATTGTTTGGTTGAGAATGATCGCATAAATCGTTAAATTAAATTCAACTTCGTTTCAAAATTCAAACTCAGATGATTTCTCTATTGCCCAGTGCGCTCGATCAAAGTGCGCGTACAACCAGAAGAAGAACGCATTCGGCCGGTGTGTAGAGACGCAAACACTAGTGCAGAAATCCAACACATTAAAAAAAACAATTTTTTACAATTGATTTTTTTTTACTTGTGCTATTTGCTCAAAAACGTTACGTGCATCCGAAGAGTGTGGGCAAAAAGGGGTAAGTCGTTTGAGTGCCCTGACATATTTATTTCTCAGTACTTTCTTTTTTTTCAATTCTATCTTTTCGTTCAATTCGCAACAACAGTAATTTTTCAATTGACTCCAAACCAATATCATTTGAAAGTTTGGCGGCTCTACATTTACTTATTTCCCTGAGGCCGGTAACCGTATCTTTTAGCGAGCGTCTGCCTGCGAAATGAGTTTTAGACTAAAACGAAAGTTGACCGTGGGTTGAGGAAAACATTTCTTTGACAGTGTATTTATATTCAAACACGAGTTAAGGTCAGAAGTTATAAAGTACGGGGAGCAGTTGCCGTCACAGATTAAATTTAGATGTTGGATCACCAAGATATTTGTCAACGCTATTTATTTTCATTTGTACATAGAGTGTCACAGATAAAGTCCCAAATATAAAGGATTTTTTTTATTTTTTACCTTAGGAAAACTTTGATGTTGGCTACAGTTTTTGCTTTGAGTTGTATTAAAAGTTACAATAGAAGTTAAACTATTGTTGTTGAACATCTGTCAAATTTCGTACTAAAAGAAGTAAAGTAAAAAGTAAAAATAGCTTTTCTGGACGAATTTTGATTTTTTTTGAAGCAGTTGTTTTCTTTTTAATTTTACATAAGTCATCAATTTTCCTCTATCTAAATTAAAAAAAAATGTTGTCATTTATTATCAATTTAACTGTTTCGTTTGCTGTCAAAGGCAAAAATAACTGATGACAGTCCATCTCCCAGTCAAATATTCATCTAGAGCTCATGTATTTTGAATAAATTAATAGTTTCTAATTAAAAGTTACAATTTATTAAAAAAATGTCTTGCATGATAAAAAATATATCGAAAAACGCCTTGATTCTGCGAAAAAAAAAAACCAAACCGCATTTACGAACACAAAAGAAATATCACGAACACAATGGACAAATCGACGAACCGCGAATAGTGAGTCTTCTTACAGTGCCATACTCTATATAGAGCGTCGGCTACCTCTCGCATGTACTTGTGATGTGTGTCAGCAGTGTTTCACAAGTACACGGGACCTACAGTTTATCGCCGAATCCGAATGACACTATTTGAGAGGCTGTACAAGGCAAATATACTCAAAGTGGTTTGCCATTGCCTTCCTTAAAGTGGCAGTTCGTTGGTCGCCCTATTTAGATAAATAAATATTTTTATTTAAATAAATAAAGCGACTGTACTGGCTGGGGATCGAACCCAGTACCTTCCGCTCCGCATCAGATCGACACTACCGCTGGAGATACGGCCGGCTGAATAGTGAGTATGGGCACAGAATATCTAGCTACGCAACAGAAGCCTCGTTACATGTATAAAATTGTAGGTAGCAAAAGGAGACAGGCTTTTAAAGCCTGTTTCCAAATCAGAAATTTTGATGTGGTAGTTTCGCTACTACATAATAGAGGACAATAAATTTAAAAGAAAACAGTTTTCTACAAACAAAATTTAAAAGAATTTTGTGCAGTGTTGCCATTGTGTAATTTATATCGTAATACTTCCTGATAAAGCCTACCTTCAAATTTGCTACATCATTTAAACATATTAAAATAGATCAGAGCTGATTTTTTCAGTTTGCCATGTTAGTTGGAATTTAATCTTATGAGCTAAATTACAATCACTTCCTGACGTTTGATTGTATAATTGAATCCTGAATTTTCATTGTAATTCGGCGACAATATAATAAGTATTGTTCTACTATTAAGAGACCACTTCCTGACGTTCGATTGTGTTCATACCAAGTTCATATCGTATAATCGGGAAAAAACGGCGTTAGCGATGGCTATGAAATGAATATCGCTGTCATTTTATATGTAAATTTACATGGGAAATGTCATCGATCGTCCTTTTCCAGCCAACTGGACGCCGTTTTTTCGGTATCATACGGGTAATAATGATTATATGTATATGTATTTGATATATACTATTTTTCATGACATTACAATATTATGGTACCATGAAGCATATCAAGTGATACCATAATATAGTACCATATTACGATACATGGCGTTCGATTGGGCTTATACTTGGTATACTATATCTTCAGTGACATTGTAATATCATGGTACCATGGAGCATATAAAGTGGTACCTTCTATAGTACCATATTTGATGACATAGCAATATTAGGTACATAGCGGCAATAGGGCTTAAACTTGGTATACTACGTATTTTCGGTGACATTGTAATATGATGGTACTATGATGCATATCAACTGGTACCATATTATGTACATGGCGTTCGATTGGGCTTAAATTTGGGATACTACGTATCTTCGGTGATATTGTAATATTATGGTACCATGGAGCATAATAAGAGGTACCATAATATAGTACCATATTACGATATCATTTCCTGGCGTTCGATTGGGCTTAAACTTGGTATACTACGTATCTTCGGTTACATTGTAATATGATGGTACTATGATGCATATAAAGTGGTACCTTAATGTAGTACCATATTTCAATACCATTTCCTGGCGTTCGATTGAGCTCATATTTGATATATACTTGCGTATTTTTGATGACATTGCATTATTATGGTACCATGAAGCATATCAACTGGTACCATAATATAGTACTATATTACGTACATGGCGTTCGATTGGGCTTAAACTTGGGATACTACGTATTTTCGGTGACATTGTAATATGATGGTCCTATGATGCATATAAAGTGGTACCTTAATATAGTACCATATTACGATACCATTTCATGGCGTTCGATTGTTCTTAAATTTGGTATACTACAGATCTTCGATGACATTGCAATATTATGGTACCTTAAAGCATATCGAGTGGTACCATAATATAGTACACTATTATGATATCATTTCCTGGAGTTCGATTGGGCCCAAATTTGATATACTTGCGTTTCTTTATAAAGATTTGTTTAATTAATAATTTTAATTTATTTTAGGACGTTTAATTTATTGTTCGATGTCGTCATGTCGTGACAGCAACTTTTATGCCGAACTAATATATTATTACACTTCACAGTTTTGTCCTCGTATTACATAATTTCTTACACATAGAGTATTAGTCTCGTGTAGCGAGATCCGTACGACAAGTTTAAATATTAGAAAAAAAAAACGCACATCCCTACTCTACTGCCCATCCCTAGTCTCCTGTCATCGTAGTGTCATTCTTAGTTTTGTCGTTGCGAAATACGTACGATCGGGAGACGCAGTGATAAATTAGTGAAATTTAGTGATAATGGGGCGCTCGAAAAACCGCAAAAGGGACAAGAAATCAAAGAAGAGACTGCTGGATAAACTACGGAGAGCACTGGAATCATCTTCAAGCAGTAGTAAGTAGAATTTGAAGAAATATTTCTCGAAGAACAGGGCACAATTCCGAAGTTTTACAACATAATTATGTGTTGTGGGCAAAGTAATTAATAACGCCCAAAAAGTCGAAACTGTTTTCGGCTCTATCGGTTAAGATAAACACAAACACCACCATTCTTCATTTTGTTATATCCCGTATGACTGGTTGTCTATAATAATGGGTTCTACACAGTGGTCAACCAGATGACAAAAGAGGTACATAAACTACATACTGGTCCAGTGATCAAATTAAAAAAAAAAAAATGTAAAATTGAATGTTGTTTTATTATATGCACTCAGATGTCTGAGACTGCATATTAATATTACATATGCACGTAGTGAGGCTCAAAAACTTCGGCCAAAAATGCTATATAGTAATTAAAAGTGAACGTGCTCTATGATATGCACTCAGATGTCTGAGTCTGCATATCAAAATTACATAGGCATCATTTTTAAATTGCCTTTTTGTAGTGTGGCTCCGTAGCCATACACTTCTGTCAAAAATGCTATTTAGCAACAAAAAGTGAATATTGCTGTATAATATGCACTCAGATGTCTGAGTTTGCATACGAATATTTTATATCTCTTTATTTTTAAACTGCTTATTCGTATTGGGGCTCTGTAGCCACACATTTCTGCTAAATATGCAATTTAGCAGTAGAAAGTGATTGTTACTTCATAAGATAAACTCAGATGTCTGAGGCTACATATATTTATGGGCATATTATTTTATGGCATATTAGTGAAGCTCAGTAGCTTCAAACAATCACTGGTTCAAATACAACCCTGACGCAGTTGTCATAGGGTTTATTATAAAAATCTAGTAAACAAAGAGATATAGGCTCGGATACTTCATCGAGTTCGACATCCTCCTCCAGTGAGGAGGCGCCTTTAGACTGTGATATGGAAAAGGGTGAGTTATCCCTTCAGGAAAGGGGGGGAGAGCCCGACATCCAAAATAACCCATTGCCAGTACCAGATAATGACGCCTTAGACCTGTTAGGCTCTAAACGTAAGGCCGATATTTCTTATGCTGAGGATATCCATATAGAGATAGCATCTAGGTGGGAAGACTTTCTAAAATCTGGTATTGAACGGGATGAAAAGAAAAAAATTATGGATATATATCCAATTGTAGGCAATTGCAAATTATTAGCTGCCCCTAGACTCAATGTGGAAATACAGTCCACAATGGAAGAAAGCGTTCTCAGACAAGACGCTTTCTTAGGGCGTACCCAAGACGAGCTAGGAGCGGCAATCTCAGCTCTAGCAATACCTCTAGATAAGCTCTTTTCACAGCCCTCTGAAGAATCCAAGGATCTTCTAAAGCATATTGCCAATGCAGCAAAATTGCTGACAAACGTACACCACAGCTTATCAAGCCACAGACGACACATTATTCTTCCAAAAGTAAACCCTACCATACGTAAATCCATAGAGCAGTTCCCTATTGATGAACTCCTCTTTGGACAAAAATTTGCAGATCAGTTGAAATCTACGAAAGAGTTAAAGAAAACCTCCTTGGAATTAAAGATTGCCAACCCGAAACAGAAATTCCAGTCAAAAAACTACAAGCGCCCTTGGAACAAATCGAAATTCAAACAGAAAGGGAAGTATCAGGACCAGAAGACAATCAGGAAGGATCAGAGAAGCCGCCTTGTGCGTCGGAAACCGGAAACTTACACACCATCCCGATTCCAACCTTAGAGGTAGATATAGCAAGTCAGAAATATGCTGGTAGACTTAAGAGTTTTATAAATGAGTGGAGAACCCTAACAGATAATCCTCTAGTTTTAAGCTGGATACAAGGGTTAAAACTACAATTTTTACAACAACCCTTTCAAAATAGTTGTAAAAATATGTTGAAAAACCCAGGGAAAAACATTTTAGATAGCTTAAAATGTCTTTTAAGTGTTGGGGCGGTAACACCATGCAGGCATACAAAGAACCAATTTATTTCTCCATATTTTTTACGAGAAAAATCAAACGGACAGTTCCGTTTTATACTTAATCTGAAACATCTAAATGAATTTTGTTTCAACCCTCCACACTTTAAACTAGAGGACTATCGCACGGTGTTAAAGTTATTGTACCCTAATTGCCTATTTACTTGTATTGACTTAAAGGATGCGTATTTCCTTATTCCCATACATTCAGAACACAGAAAATTTTTAAGATTTGTATTTGAAAACCAACTCTACCAATTTAATTGTCTCCCATTTGGGCTAAGCATAGCACCCTATATATTCACAAAAATTATGAAACCTATTTTAATGAAATTACGAACCGAAGGCATTATTTGTATATGCTATTTAGATGATATCTTAATAATAAGTTCATCCATAAAACAAGGTGTTGAAGATGTAAACAAAACCGTATCTATATTACAACAATTAGGTTTCATAGTAAACTTTAATAAAAGTCAATTAACACCAAGCACAGAGTGTACATATTTAGGTTTTATTTTTAACTCGGAAAATATGACTGTTTCCCTTCCTCAAAATAAACGTCAAAAGATTATAGAAAATATAAATAAAATGTTATCACAGTCTCGCTGCACAATTAGGGAATTTGCAAAGTTAATAGGTGTTCTTACAGCTGCTTGCCCTGCTGTTAGGTATGGCTGGCTTTACACAAAAATTTTGGAGCGGGAAAAAATTAATTTTCTTAAAACAAAACACAGTTATAATAAATACATGCTGCTTAGTGCAAAAGTGAAAACCGAACTACGTTGGTGGTGTAATAACGTAAAACATTCTTTTAATCCAATTATGAAAGGGACATACGACATTGTAATTTTTTCAGATGCTTCAAAAATTGGGTGGGGAGCTAGCTGCAATGGCGTGAATATTCATGGGTTCTGGAATAGCCAGGAAATACAAATGCATATTAATTATCTAGAATTATTAGCAGCTTACAATGCCTTAAAATCTTTTACAAAACACCAAGTGAACATTAGCATTCTATTCAGAATTGATAACGTTACAGCCATATCTTTTATTAACAAAATGGGGGGAGTTAAATACAAAAAATTGCACAAAGTAACTAAAGACATTTGGCAATTTTGCGAAAAGAAACGGTTTTCGTTGTTTGCATCGTATATCAACACCAAAGATAATATAGAGGCAGATTTAGAATCACGATGCAAAAAGATTGATACTGAATATGAATTGAGTAATATCGCTTTTCAAAAAATTTGTAATAAATTTGGCTATCCTGAAATTGACTTATTTGCCACTGAGCTAAATAAAAAATGCAAAAGATATATCTCTTGGAAGCCAGACCCAGGGTCGGTGGATGTAGACAGTTTTACAATAAGCTGGACAAATTATTTTTTCTATGCGTTTCCACCTTTTTCGATGATCTTAAAAATGCTAAATAAAATTGTAACAGATTGCGCAACGGGAATTGTGGTAGTACCCTTGTGGCCCGCACAACCCTGGTTCCCGTTGTTTCGAAATCTTATGATAGCAAAACCGATTTATTTTAAACCACGAAGGAACCTTATTTTATCTCCTTTCAGAAAACCACATCCATTATGGAGAGACACTACCCTGGTAGCAGCTCATTTATCAGGGTTGCGTTTTCGAAAAGGTCGTTCCCTGAAGAAGCCATTCAAGGAATAGTCTCCTCGGTATCAGAGTCGACTATGAAGCATTATGATGGTTGGTTCAAAAGATGGTGGGTTTTTTGCATAGAGGCACACCATGACCCGTGGGTTTACTCCTTAAGCCACTTCATAAATTTTTTAAATAAACAAGCGCAAAGTGGGAAATCTTTCTCGGCCGTAAACAGCTGCAAAGCAGCTTTGTCTTTCATACTTCCTATTTCTAGCACTGATGAACCCCTCATAAAAAGATACCTGAAAGGAATATATAATCAAAACCCACCAAAACCAAAGTATGATACGACATGGGATCCGTATCCTGTTTTATCATTCTTGGAAAAATTAGTTCCTTTAGACCGTTTAACTTTAGAGCAATTGTCTTATAAATTAGTAACCCTACTAGCACTCATCTCAGCGCACAGGGTTCAAACTCTATCAAAAATAAAAATTCACAACATCATTAGATTTGAGGATAGGCTGGAGATTCTCATTCCAGATAGAATAAAATCCAGTGGTAAGAATCGACAACAACCTGTTCTCAAAATTCCGTTCTTCTTGGACAAGCCAGAATTGTGTTTGGCAACTTGCATACTCTTTTACATCGAAAAAACAAAATCATTTCGGGAAGAAGGGTATGATACACTTATTTTAACACACAAAAGGCCTTTTCATGCAGCAAGTAGCCAGACCATAAGCAGGTGGATAAAACACACCTTAAAAATGAGTGGAATAAGCACAGAGCAATATTCAGGACACAGTGTCAGACATGCTGCTACGTCAGCTGCTAACAGAGGGGGTGTGAGTGTAGAGGAAATTCGGAAGAGAGCTGGATGGACAGAAAAATCAGCAACATTTAACAGGTTTTATAACCGACCTCTAGCTGTCCCTCCAGACCTTTTTGCTAGAGGATTATTGAAAGGGTCTAACGTAAATTCTTGAATGAACTCTTTTTTCAGTATTTCTGAATATTCATTCATATGTTAGGATATATTAATATATATCCTTTATTACTTTTATTTTATTTGGTTGCCATTATTATGTTATTACAATACAAAAATGTTATTATATTCATAAGTTTACCACTTGAATTTAATATTATAGGTTTTAATGTTTTTTTTTAATTCGAAGAGTTTTTTCGATTTAAAATGGGTTTTTTCTCTATGTAATTTGATATATAAAAATAAATTTGTTCTGCATTACTCTTGATAGCCTTATTTAAGTCTTTAAACAGCTACTCTATGTGTAAGAAATTATGTAATACGAGGACAAAACTGTGAAGTGTAATTAATAGATCAAATGACTTACCTTAAGGAAATTTGATCCTAATTACACGAACAGTTTTGTCCGAAGTATTACATAACCCAATCCCCAAATTTATAAGTACAATTCCCACCCAAAGGCTATCAGAGGTCTTTAAACCGAATGACGCTACGATGACAGGAGACTAGGGATGGGCAGTAGAGTAGGGATGTGCGTTTTTTTTTCTAATATTTAAACTTGTCGTACGGATCTCGCTACACGAGACTAATACTCTATGTGTAAGAAATTATGTAATACTTCGGACAAAACTGTTCGTGTAATTAGGATCAAATTTCCTTAAGGTAAGTCATTTGATCTATTAATTAATTGTACCTGTGTCACTTTTTAAAATCTACCTAGGTCTATATAAATAACGTGACAAACGGAAGAAATTTGTTATTATAGTATTTTTTAGTCAGTTAACATTTTTTGTACTGCATTTTAATAAATTATTTCCATTATTATTAAACTTATATTTCATTACTAACGTTCCAGCATTAATAAATATCACCATCAATCGCCCTGTATATTATTAATTTTAAAGGTAATTAAAGGTATTTTCTTAGTTAACATTATAAGGTAGTGTATATTAAAAATGTATATGTTTTGTAATAATATACTTAACTATTTTAATAGCCAATAGAATAATTAATATAAGTGTATCTGATAAAAAAAGAAGAATAGAAATAAACACATACTGCATTATACACAATAAAAAGAATGGGATGCCAATTCAAGTCTTTTGAATCTGGCAACTGTGCATATTTAGCCGAGCTACAAGGCCGTCGACGAGCCGTTGATCCAAAACCGAAAGTTCAAAATTTCTAATTATATTCTGATTATGATATTGTCGCGCCATCTAGTATTCTATTTGTGCAATTTTAGCTCTTTCATTTCGAGTATTTTTCTGTTGCGTAGCTAGATATTCTGTGGTATGGGGCTTTATTCTTTTTTTTTAATTTTATTGTCCTATCATTACACCATTTTTTTTCTAAACTTCTAGTCGTTTTAAATCCACTGAAAAAAGGATTCCAAAAAAATATTAATATTATGTGCTCTATCATTTCTTTATCATTTTTTTATTTTTATTCATTTTATTTTTTTTATTATTTTCTATATAAAAAAACTAATCTGTACATCGTAAATTGTAATAAGCAAGCTATAAAAAGAAATAAAGGAAACAAAGCTATGATAAGCAAAAGAAAAATATTATTTCTGCTGTACAATATTCTCTAAATTAATTAAACTATTCAAAAGAATGTTTACATTGTTTACCCCCAGATATTTTCACAGGTTACAGTTACTAAATTAATTCATAATTTTGGATAACTAATCATAAAAGTTTGGGAGCTCCGCAGGGATCTAACCTTGGCCCACTAATATTTTTATTATACTGGGTGCGTCTCGAAATAGGCTCACCCCTATAACTTTGTTATTTTTTCATATAAAAAAAAACGAGATTTGGTATGTTAGTATATGACATAAATTAGGATTGATTGACGTATTCAATTGTCTTTGACCACTTCCTGCTTCACCGGAAATGGTTACAGCTTTTGATTTTTAAATGGCACCACTGGTATAATTCTACTTTATTCGATAGAAATTGACACTCTGAATAGTATGATATATCATATGTCAAATTTTGACATTTCCACTTAAAAACAAATTGTATTTTAAATTTCAATCTAAAGTGTGTCATGGCTGTGTTAAAAGCACCAATTTTTAATCAAGGAGCCCTGAAAAACTAGTTTTGATAGTCTAATGTTTTTCGTGTCTTCTCCTGGCCGGTTAAAAGATGCCCAAGTCGTATTTTTAAGCATATCTGAATTTTTTTCAAATAGAATAAGGATGGCTCATTAGCATATTTGCAAACCAAACCGAACCACACATTTGGTATTTCGAGTCAAATTGTCGTTATGAATTGCTTTTTACAATTTCAATTAAATCATATGGGAAAATATCATAGTTTACATAAAGTTTAGATATGATATGTTATATTTATAGTGTCATTTCCTATCAAATAAAGTAGAAATGTACCGAAATGCCATTTAAAAATCAAAAGTTGTAGTCATTTCCGGTAAAACAGGAAGTGACCAAAAACAATTGAATACGTCAATCAATCCTATTTTAAGTCATATACTAACATACCAAATCTCGTTTTTTTATCTGAAAAAATAAAAAAAATTACTACCTATATTTTTTTAGAGACAATTGGTGAATTGCTGTTTTCTTTTTCTCATATTAGCACTTTAATTGGTATTTCCTATTGGACTAACAAAGTATTATTATCATTATAACTAAAGTTATTTAAAATAAGTAATTCAAACCAGTTTTCAACAAAAATTTTAATTTAAGTTTTTCAATACGAATACAAGAACAGTATAAGGAACAAAATTAGTAAAAAAACTGAGTGCTGCTTGCTATTTTTGGAAAGGCAAATTCTCAAGAGGTTTTTTTGTAAAATTTAGAATTCGAAATAAAAATCTTTTCATCGAATATTCGGCGTTTAAAGACCCGAATTCTTGTTTACATTTTGTCGTGCCGGAAATAAAATTACTGTTTTAATACACCGACCGGTGCAAATTTAATTAAGTTCGTATTGAAAGCAAAAATTGCGCTTAATTGAAAAAAGCGTAAAACGAAAATTTTAAATAAGGTAAACGAAAAACAACCTAATGTTGAAAAGAGCCTTTTAAATTTATTTACAAAAGATAGATTCCTTTTAATATTATTCTATTTACTTTTTTTATTTTCTAGGTAAGCATAAACGATTGAATTACTGAAAATCATTAGAAAAGGATAAAAAATCGTAAGTACTACCATTTCTTTCATTATTATATGTTTATATTATTTAAATTTTATATATTTGAATTAGAGTTGGGCTAAAACGTAAAATCGCATTAACAGGTATACCTGTGGCCATGATATTATATTAACTGCTATTTTTTAACTTTGGGATGTCACTATCGATCTTTTAGATATAGCAAACTAGTCCATGATGCCATTTTGTATTTATAATATATAGGGTGTTCCAGAAATAAGTGCAAGTATTGTAAGGGATGGCAGATCTCGATAAAAGAAACATATTTTCTCTTTATCGTTTTTCAAATAAGTCCAAAATAACGAAGTTATTTTACTTTGAAAATTTCCAAAAAAATATTTTTTGCTAAAATTTTGATCTCGATCTTTTCTGGATTTTCTTTCTTGTAAATTTAATCTAATACCTATGTTGCCATATTATCAGGAAATTATGTTTTTAAACTAAAAACTAAAAAAATGGTTTTTTTCAAAAAATTTCGAATTATCAATTTTTTTTTTTCGCGAAAAAAACTCATAGGCGTGTTTCTGGGATTGAACTATACTACCAGTTAAAATAGTTGCACTTATTTCTGAGGAGACACCCTGTGCAGTATAAAGAAAAATAGTAATAATATATTAGATATAAATACAGAGTCTCCCATTTTAGTTGAAATCATACGGTATCTCCGTTATTCCTGAAGATAGAAGGGTGCGGTTTGCACAATCCTGTGCCACTTTTTTGTCAAACGAAAGATGCCGTAAATAAAATTTTCATATTACTCTTCGTTTCTGAGCTACAGGGTCCTTTTGAAAATTTTGCAATTTGGGACACCCCTTGTATCTCTGTTATTGTTAAAAGTATCGAGACGGTGAAAACTGTTTATAATAGAAATTTTTACGTAGAATACAGTGGTGTAGTCTGTTATTCAACAAAAAGAATATTTTTAAAGATATGAACTAAAGTTATGTTTTCTTAAATGGAACACCCTGTATATTTATAAATTGTATGATCTGGCTTGCCATAAGCTTCTCAAAAATATATATCACTCTATATTTATTTTTACTATTTATTGCAATATATAAAAAAATATATTAAAAGATCGTATTTATCAGTAGGCCATGATTGATAATAAAAGAAACTAAAGAATTATTAAAGGTATACTGCTGTCTGTTTCTTCTTTTATTTTGAGAGCCACTAATAAATTCTTTATATATAAGGGAAACTTAACTCTCTACCGGTATATGTAAATCTTGGAAGCTATGGTATCGGAACTTTTAAATATTCCTTAAGCTAATTTACGTTAAATACACTTTCAGCAAGATGTGCCCCCCCCCCCTCACAACTTAGCTGACAACAAGAATATTAGAATTTTGTTTAATTATTATTTCTCAAATCAATGAATTGAAACCAATGGACCCATATACCCATATGATGGCCTCCTGGATTCCCTAATTTGTCCGTTCTCGATTTCTGATTTTGGGGATTTTTGAAATATGAAATATATCGTGGCAACTAATACAATGTCGAAACCCTGGAAAATGCTTTAATAATGCAAGCTTTTAGATATTGGCAAACCCATCCCCATGGCAAACCCATCCCCATGGCAAACCCAAGATCGATATGAATTACATTTTGCGTAATTTTCATCTAACGGAGAAAAATAATTTCATAAAAAATACAATTTTGTTTTTTTTCTAACAATTGGCGGCATATTAATATATAATATTTTTCTACTCAATATCTAATTTTTAATTGTTTTTATATATTTAAATATCTAATTAGTGAACACAATCGTAACACAGTTTCTAATCGTGCTTATATTCTGTCATCTTACATAATTGAGGCATTACACAATATGAATGTTCTACATGTTGCATACTAACTAAATACATGTATAGTATAATAATTGTATGCGACGAACATGTATTTAGGTAATTGGTGATTTACAATTTAGATTATTAGGTGATTTGCGATTTTCAACCTTATGGTGCGTTTAGACTTGAGCACGCACGAGCTGAGCGTGCGCGCACGGCATTCGTTCGCGCTCTCGGCTCCGTTCAAATTAAAAACTTATTTCTCGACGAATGAAGTGATCCATTTATGCGCGCACAGAAGAGTTGTGTTGGCGAAAATAATGGACGACCAAGAAATAGTCGAGGCTGCAGTAAATGTTATGCACAGCTTAATTATTAAAAAGGAGGAAAATCGAAAATATCGTCGCTGGTGGCAAACCCAAATTTTTAGAAATCGATATAATTTACTGCAACAACAGTGTCTGAGGAGGGC